TTTATTATAATCCCGACCGTAAATTTTTTATTTAATTTAACGGTTTTTTAAAATATAGTTTTAGCGTAATAATGTTTTATTTTTAGCTAAACGTTAAATAGTTTTTAAATAAGCCGTTTATTATTTTAATTACTAAAATTTAGTTAATAATATATTTTAATCGTTATATATTTAAACTAAAACTTAATTACGGACTATTTAAGCTAAAAATCGCGTATTTAATTTAGTTTATAAAAAAGCTACGAATAACTTTTTAATTTAGCAAATTATTAGTTATAATTTTAATTAATTATAACGTAATAAAAGGTATAATTAAGTAAACGGTTTTCGATATTTCCGCTATTAATTAAAGTAATAAACGCTTTATTAATTCTTTTATTTATTTTTTTTAGTACGATTTCGACGTATACTATATTTTAAACAAACTTAACTATATACTTAATACTTTAAACCGGCTAAAAGCCGGTAATAAATTAAACGCGTAAAATAAAATAATCCGGTTTAATAAACCGGTAGTATTAAACACTATTTAAAATGTTATTAAAATAAAAATATTAAATAAAACCCGGGCTAAGTTTGCCGTAATATATATAACCGATAAACAATATGCACTAATTTTTAAAGCTATTAAAAAATATAAAGCAATATTTATTAAAGCTAGTAATAACTTAAACGCTATTTATTACTAATTAAATAATTAGTTTTAAATTATTAACGGTTTAATATATAATTTTTACGCTAAAACGCAACGCTTTTATATACTTTATAAGCTCGTACGCTCGTTTATTACGGCAATTTATAATAATAAGCATTATTTTAATATAAACCAAATGCTTTAAAACTTTAAAAATTATTTTATTTACCGTAAAACAGCTTTTATTAAAAACTATATTAAATACTATTTAATTTGCGGTTTAAATTAAACTAATTATTATAAACTTTTTAAAAATATATAACCTATATATATCGATAACGCTTTACTTATACGAGTTATATCCCTCGATTTTATTACAAAATTACCTTTCGTCTTTTTTATTAGCACTTTTTAGCAGCTATTAAAAAGCAAAAAGTACTTTGCTACTTATAATATATTATTACCTATTACTTATTACGCCTTTAAACGCATTTTATTAATTCTAAATAACGAAAAATATACTATAGCTAAATAAAAATATGCTTTAATACGCTAATTATTAGTTTTAAATTAAGGCATTTTAAAAAATATTATTTTAAATCGTAACGTAAAGTTTATATTAGAATTATAGCAAAGCATATAAAAGTATTTTAGCATTAGGCTTTTTATAATAATAGCATATTATTTGCAAACCGACAACGCGTTTAAGCGAAAAAATTAAACGGTAAAAATAACTATCCGCTTTTACGCCTTTAAAAACCCTATAACTAATTAAATATTCGTTATTATCCCGTTATAATAATATTTAAACGTAGCTTTTGTAAATAATATCGGATTTTTTACGTATTAATAGCTTTTTAGTTTTTAATTACTTAATCTTTTCGATTTGATTTTAAAACGTAAAAACAATATTTAAATCGACGATATATTTATATTACGTAACTTTTTACGTAAAAATGCCTAATTAATTATAAACTTTACGGCTTTTTGCGTAAAACGACGTTATAATAGTAAATATTGCTTTATAAAATTCGATATCGGCGATAAAATTTATATCCGTTTTTATTACGGTTATTATTTCTTTAAACGGCTATTTTAAAAATAGTCCTAATAACGCGCTAGCTTTTAAACGGTAAAAGTTCGGGTCGAAAAACTAGCTTATTTATTTAATTATTTAGCCGATTATAGTATAAACCTCGTATTATTTATCGAATACTTAAAACTAGCACTAAATTATATATATAATTTTTTCGACCGTTACGTTTTATTATTAAAACCTATTAAAGTTAATTAATATTTAAAAACTAATAATAATAAAAACGTTTATAAAATAAAGATTTTATTTACGTATTAATTTTATAAACGTATAAAGCGGTTTATTTACAAATATTTAATAAAATAAAAAAGCTAAAACAACTTTTTTAATAAATAAAAAGCAAAGCACTATTTAAAGCATTTAGCCCGTTTAATTACCGAATATTAAGAAAAAAAAAATAAACAACCCGATATATTTAACGTAGCTTTCCCGCCTCCCGATACTTTTACGGCATTTATAAAACAAGGTTAAAAACGTCCCCGTAAGGTTTAATTTATTAATTACGTTATATATAACACTAAGTTTTATTAAAATTAACAAGTTTTTTCCTTGCCCCCGGTAGTATAATACGTAACCGCTAAGGGTCACTATTACCGCAGCTATAGCGTAATTATAGCATTACTATAACGTAGCCGTACGGATAGCTGACTAATAGCTATTAGGCCTAATATATAGCTAGGCTTCTTACACTCATATATAAATGGTTTTTTTAAAGGATAAATACATACATTTCCACCCTATACCTTAAGTATCTTATTAAACAGATATTTGCAAATTTAAAAAACTTTAATATATTTATAATAACAGCGGTTACGATTAATATTAATAAGCGTACGGTTTTAAAAAAAATAGGCGTAATTACGAATAAAATAAACGTAGTTATAAAAAAAATAAGCGCCGTTTTAAAAAAAATTAATAGCGTTTAGCGCGTAAAAAAGTCGATAAAAAGTCGGCGCGTAAATTTAATTAATAACGAAATAATTAATAGAGCGGCTGCGATCGTTAGCGATAATCCCGTTATTAATATTAAATTAAATAACGTTATTAAAATTTTTTTACGTTTATAATTGTTTTTTTTAGTTTTTTATGTAGTATTATTATCGTTATTATTTAATATAATTAGTTTAATAGTTTGCGTTTTTTTTAGCGGTTAAAAAAAATAATACAAGCCGTTATTATTATAATAGTAGTTATTATAATTACTAATTAAAGCGTTTTATATAACGACGTAAAATCGAAAAAGTCCGTTTTTACGCTAATATTTTACGTATACCGTTTTTTTAAATATAACGTTGTTTATTATTATAATATATACGGTTATTATAGCAATTAATATACGATTTAAAATACGTATTAAACGTAGCTTATTTATAGCGTTTATACGTAAAAATAATTTAAAAGCGATTAATTTTCCGGTTAATATATAGTTTTTAATATTTATAAATTATTAAAAAAGCTTTTATTAAAAGCGTAAGCTTTATTTATTATAAATAAAATATTATTATAAATTTACGTTAATAAACGGCCTAAATAGGTTAAATTTATTATACGTTATATAATTTATAAAATGCTTTTTAATATAAACGGTCGTTATTATTATAATAACGTAATAAACGACGGCGTTCGGTTTTTAGTCGTTTGTTTACGTTTTTATTAAATCGTTAAAAATAGTTTTTAATTATAAATAATTAAATATTATTTTTTTATTATATAATATTAAAAACAAACAATTAATTAACGCATTTTAATTATAGTTATAAATATTAATAAACGTATTGTTTACTTTTTATAAACAAGCTTAATTAAACGTATTATTAATATAAATCGAAACCGAATTATTTATTAATACGTTTATAATAAAGGTTATAATATTTATAATAAACGTATTTAATTTAAAACGTTTACGTTAATAATTAATTATAAACGTTATAAATTAATTTAACGTTAATATATTAATATTAATTAAATTAGGCCTAAACGAAATCGAAAACTAGGTTTTAAAACTATTTATAATTTAAAATATATCGTTATTAACGATTAAAATATATTAATCGGTTAAAATCGATTTACGGTTAAAAGTTTTAAAAATAAATAAAGCTTATTTTATAATAAACTATATTATAAAGTTATTAATATTATTATTTACGTTCGGAAATAGTTATAAAATAAAAAGTTTAATAACGTTATTATTAAAAGTTTTTAAAATATTATAAAAAATAATAAATTAATTATTAACGGTTTTATACGTTTAACCGGGTAAATTTATAATAAAAGGTTTAAAAAAGGCAGTAAGCTTAAAACGCGTTTTTATAAAAATTAAAAATTTCGGTTTATTTTTATCGGACTATAATTTAGTTTTAATTAATAAAATCTGCCCGTCGGTAAACTCGATTTAATTAAAACGCATTTTTCGATTTTTAATAAAGCGTATTATTTTTGCTTTATCGATATTTTTTAAAAACGGCTATTACGTTTAAAATCGTTTAATATTAAATAGTAAAAAATAATTACGAAAAATATTACAAGCAAAAAAGCTTTAAATATATATAAAAGGTTTTAATTAAAATAAAAAATAAATAATAATAAAATTTTTATTTTATATAAATTATTAATAAAACTATTATATAAATAAAAACAAATAATATTTAAAGCAAATTAAAATTAATATTTTTTAGCTTTAAATTAATATATAAAGCCGAAAATAATTTCGTTATATATAAAACTAAACGTAATATAATAAAATATTATAATAAAATAAAAAACAAGCTTAAAACTAGCGTTTAGCCGTTATTAAACGTATAATATATATTAAACTAATTAAAATAAAATTAATACCGTTTAATTTAAAATTAAGCCGCGATTTTAATAAAATAAACAATCGGTATTAAAAATAAACGTATAAAAAGTTATACGTATTAAAGTAAATAAAAGTTCGAATAAAAGCGGAAAAAAAAGTTTTATAATAATAAATCTATAAAATTAATAATATAAATATAGCCGTAAAGCATTATATAATTTAATTAGTTTAATTTTTTTTAAAAACCTATTTTTAATTATTTAAGCAATTACGACCTTTTTTATTTAATACTTACCGCTTTTTTTTTATTATTACTTAAATATTATATTATATATATAAACATTTACTTATTACTATATACTATATATATACCTGCTTATTTATATATTTATTTATTTACGCATCCGAATATCTCCTAACCCTCACGGAGTGAGGGCGAGCGTCAGCTTGTCATTCCATTCAATAAAAAGAAGGGTCGGTTAGCTCAGTTGGCAGAGCATCGCAATTACATGTTACATGTATCCTCTAAGATAAGGAGTAAGAAGTACTGCGAAGGCTATAGGTTCAAGCCCTATACTGACCATGAACGGATATTTTTCTTTCATGTTGCTTCAGTGTATTGATTTTTTTGGCCCGTTTACCTCTGGTTGTCTCGAAACTTTTGCTCCTCATGTGTGAATCTTGAGTTTATTCGGGCATGTACTGTCTTTAGCTTAGGTCATAGTGATTCATGTCTTCGTCTGTAAGGTAGATGACATGACTGAGGAATGAATCACATGGCTGCTGGATTCACTGAAAATTGCCTTCGAAATACTATTGCTTTGAGTATATGGTGAAGTGATATTGTAGATACGAATTGGAACATTCAATCTCACCATCATATACTCAGAAAATCTCGACTGCCAGGTGTGAGTCGCTGTTATCCGAGTATTCCGATGACCGTTTATTCACAAGGTGTGATCCGAAATTGTCTGGGAAGAGGATACGCATACATCACTGAAAACGATTGGACTATCAACAAGTTGCCTCCATCAAAGATGGATATCCAGACGATTTGCCCAGTGTTACACTTCGAGGTTCGGATATGTCGAACTCGGCTACGGTTGGCGCAGGTCTGATTCACAAAGTGATGATTGGCTGCTCTTGTTCAACAAACTGTCAAGTGACATGTATGCACCAGTCACGGTGAAACAGGATTGTACATTTTATTTATATCAACCAATTTACGAAATGAAGAAACGGAGAACTCTACATATCAGTATTCTTGAATGTTTCCCAGCTTTGACACTCAAGACTTGACTTGCGCCATCGTCTACAACTACCGCCCACGATGATGCTGACTGTGCTGTTTTGCATCCTCCTCGGCGTGCTGAAGCACGTTTGTGCTGTCCCGGTACTCGACTCGGACACGGCAACTGACGCAGGTACACTGAGTGCAGAGCTCATGGCACGTGACTATCCACCCGCCGGCAACGGCTGGGACGACTCACCGCGTGTAAGAAGACCATGGCGATATGATGGCTGGGAGTGCTTGACTTCGTATCAGGCCATTCCATCGGTCACGACCTCCTGCGTGGAATGGTGCGATGCCGATGATAAAAACAGGCGTGTCAGATATCACGTGTGAGTACTGCTTCAACGTTATCCGTATGTAGATGAGACTGACGGTATGTTCTGGAAAAAGACAGATATCTGCGAATGTAAGCACCATAAATCCCCCCAGGATCGGCGTGTCTATATGGCATTGCGTGGGACTGCAAAGGGAACTCATTAACATGAAGCACTGCTAGGGACAAAACGCACTGGCTTGGTGTTCGATGCTTAGGCTACGCATGAGATACAATTGCCTCTGGAAACCGTCGAAAAATCCTGATGGTATGTATGAGAATATCTTGAGAAAGGAACTGTTTCTTGAAACCTAAGACATCGTGCTAACATTTTCTCTAGTAAGTACCGTACTACTAGCTATTAGAACTAGACCCATGGCTTAGGATCTGGAGTCCCGCTTGAAAAGGTAAAGCAGTAACTGACGCAAGACCTTTCTGGCCATCAGACCAATAACGACGACTTCGACGGTACGTAATCTTGAAGGAATCGTCGTAAAAAAGTTCTTCTCTCTATCCCTCCCGCCATTCCTGAGGTCGTTGCGAATACCCTTCACAGCCAAAACAATATCTTAACCGGACTCAAATCACTAACCCTTATTTTAGTCTGGGACTGCAATATACGGAACGCTCCGGAACAAGAAGGCCTCGCAGTTTGGGGATGGGACGATTATTACAAAAGAATGATCCAACCCAGTGGCGTGAATCTCCGCTTCGACTTCAAGACGAATGATCAAAAGGATCCGGCGACGGGGCAGGTAGACAACGGCCACGCGTGTGTAGCGCTTTCGATCCGCGAAGCCACGTGTAAGACCACTGACCAGAATTTTGGTCTACGCTGTCTCCCAATTCTGTGGGAGGCACTACCTGGCGATGACCAGATGGACGAGACGCCGGTGCCGCCGGATGAGTGCCGCAAAAGTAGTTTGATGCCACCGGATGCACTTTGATGGTAGACTGTGAAATTGGGGTCTAAGCACCGGTTATGCGAGCTTAAGCAGCAGGAATGGAAGCATAGTCTGGCTTGAATTTGCGACTATCTAGCTATTTACTTTCTGGCGATCCAAAGGCACGCCAACTAGATAGGAAATCCCACACCAGAATCCTCCTGTTGATTATGTTTTTTGTAAAATACAGTGGTTTTCTGCCATGCGCCGAAAGAACAAAAAGTCGCGGGTGGAAAAAAAATCTGTGCAGCAGAAGAGAATCGTACGAGCCGGGGGCTGTAGACACAGGCGACCCACGCAGGCGACCCTGTGTCAAGGGAGACGCGACCAGCCCAGCCCCATGTCTCGAACCTTTTCGATACAACACCATGTTCTTCTCTGTAACAGCTCCCAACGTACCCTCCACAAAATACCTACCCTTTGGCACCATATGTGGAAGAGGCAGAAACGTTGGGTTGTTCGCAAGAGAGATTCTTCTCGGCCGAGTCCGAGGCGCTGGCTCCGGAGCAAAGTAGCTTCTGCCGCGGTGCGAGTGACGCATAACACGTTGCATCCCTAGCAGGGACGATGCATCACTTTCCGGCATATCGCCCTTACTATCGCGCTTATCTCCTTCAGAAAGAACCCAAACATGGCGCCACTGCAGGCCGCAACGCTATCACAGGGCCAAGCGACAAAACACTTGGGCTGTAAGCGAAGGGGTCGCCCGCCCGGATAACACCGCCCGGGTCGGTGTGGTTAAGCAACTCGAAACGAAACTCTTCAAGGGGGGTTGTTTCCAGGTACAACAGATGCAAGCGGAACCAGCCTTGAAGAAACCTATCTTCAATGCTGGTTCGATGATCGATGATGGGCCAGGTGAGCCCAAACCCAGCTGGGGCGCTGGGTATGTACCGGGATCTTTCTTTATTCTATACAATGCAACGAGTATATAGATATGAATATGTCGTTGTGATCCTATTCAGTAGCTCCAGGTCGTATGGAGTAGTGCGGCAGTTTTATGTCTTGCCGAGGACAACAGTTGGACCGGAATTGCAAAACCCTGGATCCGACTCAGTACAAACAGGACAAGATGTGGATCAAAGATTGCCTATTTACCTTGAAGTGTGCTTGAAACGCCCGTAGCGAAGCAATCGACCAACTGTGAGAACGACCATGAGATAGATACCGTTACAACCACTGTCACCTTGTGGTCTCTCATTCCATCAACGATGTGACTTTTCCGTACCGTCCAAGTGCCATAATCGCATGATTCGATGTAAAAGAAAGACCGTCGTGATCATCCAGTGCTGAGGTGCCTCATTCTGCCATCAAACGATTCGTTGGGGGTGTGACTTCTCTGTATCGTCAAAGCCGCCGAACTCCGGGCTGATGCAAAAGTATCACCATGCCAGGAAGAAATATCTAGTTGAGGCATCTCGCTCAATCTCATTACGAATCGGACTCCTCTCAATCGTCCAAGTGTCCGAAACCGTAAACCTACAATGGCATGCGCGTTAGCTGCTGTGCGGCCACGGAGAAGCTCGTGGAGAAAGGAACGTACCGATAATGTAGCAAATGCATTTCAAACGCCCGTTGCGCTTGGTATGCTTTAAGCCTTATCCGCTGCGTCTCAAAATCGTGTGACCGAGTCGCTTTTGTAATGCACCGTAGAATGAAACCAAACCCATGCAGTTCATGTCGTCATTAACTTGTCAATCATTACAGCATAGGCCTTTTTGTGTCGTGCCCAGGACGAAAGCGTTTCGCCAACGCCGCCTTCGCTTAGGGACAGGAAGTCCGCTCGAGCATCTTCGTGTCCAAAATCAGGACTCGTACGTCGTCCGACGTGCGTCGCAGGGCATTTTACTGTCATACCCAGGACCTGTGCCACGGACCATTGTCCTCCATGACATCGCTAGGTAGTTTATCGTCTTGCTCAGGACGTGATGGCTGTACCTTAGTGGTGTAATAGCAGCGAGTCTCTTGGTCGGAATTGTCTGTCGCGAAGGCTTGTGGCAGGATATGAACAGAGAACGGATGAGGATCTGAGAGCTCGTGGTACGGGAGCCTAGTCGGAGGCAGGGATGTATGGAGAGGAGACAATCCTCTTGCTCCTGGAGCGAATAAACATCGTGTCGACTTTATCGGACTCAACGCGGCGAGAGTAGGAGATAGATAATATTATCTCCGGATACACGAACAATGACCGCCGGCAACGGCTGCACGAAGCCGAAGGAGGTGTTCATCAACCCATCGCGAGAGAAGGTGAGGGCAATCACAATGGTGCCTTTTACTCAGCGCTGATGAAATTGATTGGCATTACCCAGGTCAGATGCAACAGTGCCGACATCTGAAGAAGAGTGGGAGGAGAAAGCTGGAAACCCGAAACGCGCCCGAGTACAGTTTATATCGGAACATCAGTGTTGGGCGCCCGATGATCCATGCTTCCAATTCTACCCCACCGCCCCCCGGTTTTGTGCGAGTACCCAAATGTCCTCGCGCCGCTCCTAGTAAGTGAAGGAATGTAGATGTTTTGCAGAAAAACCTTGGAGATATCGCGTGTTTACTTGAAGATATTCAAGAGACATAATCGTTATTCTGACTTCATCCTGGCCGACAGACTCTGGCCGATTCTATCCGAGCCGGCGTCGCTGACGTAACTGGAATCGGACTTGGCCTCAGTTTTCACCCCGTGGGATGTCTGCCAAAGGCATCAACGAAAGTCTCACCACATCGAAGGTGACACTTGTGGGCAACATAGAGCGAACATAGCCCCCTAATTGGTATTCTTAACTATGAGGCCTGGAATAGAGTGAAGAGAGCTTGCGTCGCGACACCGCGGCTGCCAATACTGGCAAATGATGATCCACGGCCTAACAATTATCAATCTGGATCACGTTGTGTCATAGCGGTCAGAGGAACGGTATTCAGTACGCCTTGTACTATGCAGATGATTGACAACATCCATATCAATCACCCTCCTCGTCGCCGAGATCCTGAAACTCCACCCACGTAGCCATCTTGCTTCTCACGTGTTCGCCATACACGAT